TTCTTCTTAAATACGCCAATAGTAAATGTGTACGAGATCAATAGCTGGAAGCATAAATAATAAGTTATAAGAAGATTTACTGATGTCTTCGTGGGCTTTCGTGGACGGTCCAGAAAATAATAATATTATTGCTGTTGGCATTCTGTAAAGAAAATGTCTTGTTAAATGATCATATGCACTTGGGGAAGGAAACTGTATTCTACCAGTCATCAGATTTACTAATGATTGTACAATTCAAGGAGAATTATACCATTAAAATTAATTTTCTTAATTATAATTTTGAAAAGTAAGGGTTACTCGAACGGCAATAACCTCAAATTTCTAAAAAACTTCAAGAGATATTAGTTTCTATAGTAATAATTGTATGATAATAATGAACGAATTGGGAACACATTATAACCGGTAGTGGAGTATGATAGAAGATTTTATGACCACAAACGATCTTGAATAGTGATAAGGGTAAAATGGGAAATTTCAATGTTGACGTTTTTGAATCAGCAGTGCGTAATACCAACACGATTTGTCAGGGATTCATTCACTTGACAAGGCATACTACGTATGAGTCTCCCAATTGCGATTTGAGGGTGTCTGTCCCACTCCTCTTGGAGCGCCTGGCCAAGTTGAGCCAACGTTTGTCGGCGGTTTATGACGTTTTCGTCTCCCCATCATGCCCCAGACGTGTTCAATGAGGGAAAGGCCTTGGTTCATTGTTGGCCATGGCATTCTATGGATATTGTGCTGTTGGAGGTGAGTATTGACAATTCGTGTACGGTGAGCACGGCCGTTGCGGTCCTGAAAGAAGAAACGTCAGCCTACGCTGGTCTTAGGCTGATATTGTCTTGACGTTTATTTCGACGTCGCCCAACACAACCACGCCTATCAAGGAAATGCAAAGTGTATCAGGACCCATCTGAACACATGACACGTGACCAGCGACGATTACCTAAGTTGTGTATACTATTGACGTCTGCATGTCATCGTATCTCATGTCATCGTATCTCAATTGCGTAGATCGATGCCCATGATGTCAATCACAGGATTGTCTGGTCCAGACTCGATTATTCACAGACCGCCGTCACATAACTGGAATCGTGCTGCGTTAAACTACAAACAAACAAACAATCAATCATAATCTTATCACATAAGGGACTTAACGGTATTTTGTTTCAGAAATAATGTGTTTGCAGTTGGCGCTTCAAAAGCAGACTACAATCTGTGTGTCAGTTTTATTAATTCAAACCACATTGATGAACATTGAACACCATCGTTTTTTCCACAATACCGTACGAGCCTTTGACCGGGTACTTCTTAGGCTAATTAGATAATTACATATAATTGGTGACAATGCCTTTTTATTGAACACATAATTCTGTTGAAAATGTTCGCCTTCGGGCAATTGTGTGACTGTTACTTACAAAGTCTTGCCATTTACAATTTACCGAAATATTTTCGACTATGTATTAATCCGCTCCGTGTTGGTTAACAGTTGATCATGAACTACATGAACTAAAATCGAACTACGCGAACTACGCGAACTACGCGAACTCTTTGCTGTTTCATTTACACGTACGCCACCTGACCTCAATTACATGTCCCCGAACAAATAATCTAAAACGCGGACGTGATGAGGCGTCATAAACACTTAAAAGAATCCGTTTTCGCAAGTGTGTGTACGTGCTCACTCCGCCTGGATAAAACGATGGAGTTTTGATCAGCTTTCAAGAACGAAATCTGTGTGCGGTGTTCTTGTTCGTTCCGCGGTCTTCTTGGTGCTAGGGCTAAATGATCCATTTTGAAATCATTCTGACCACGTCATGACTTTGCCGACCCATGTTAAACTCAATACAGATGATATGGTTATTTTTTATTAAATGCGTTACTCTGACTTTATATTTGTCAAATGACTTGAGGGACATGATCACCCGACCAGTAGTCAACACTGAATTTCAGTGATCATTCATACAAATATATTCTTGAAAAACCACTCGTTCAACTCATGAAACAGCGAGAAGAGATTTATCTGAATGTATATTGTGCAAACGCCTTTACGAAACTGCTTTAGATGAACGTTGTGAATTAGGACCCTCAGAAATGAATAACAGCATGTCACAAACACCTGGTGTCATCACTGATTTTCGCTATCCATATATGCATATCATTTTCAGCGCTGGTCTGTAGTTTACGCTGAATGGAATATGTTTCGGCGGATAATCGAGACTGGTTATATTCAAGCATTGACGTTTTATATTTGCCACCTATTGAAAATTATATCATTCACAAAAATATATATATTGCAAAGTGATTTCATAACATTTAATTCGCTTACCAACGAATTAGGCCATCGTCCACGTTTCCCTGATTTTTTCCCGAGGGCGTTTTTTTTTATAGTTTTATTATACATGTATGTACCGTGGCCCATAAGGGACATTGAGTCTGTTTTTCAATATTTTGATGTTTCTCTTACTTTTATCGTAACCTTTTGCAAATTAACACAATTTGTCATACAAATATGTGATAAATCATGTATAAAAACAACCGAAAACATGGAAAATGTACTTTCAAGTAGCTATTGATCATGAGACGCTGAAATGTGAAGCGAAAATGTCAAAAACTAAAATGGAAATGTCAAAAACAAAACGAAAATGTCAAAAACAAAAGCGAAAATGTCAAAAACTAAAATGAAACCACAGAAAACTATTTCCACCGCGGTGGGAATATTATCACCGCGGTGGAAATAGTTTTCTGTATTTTCATTTTAGTTTTTGACATTTTCGCTTTTGTTTTTGACATTTTCATTTTAGTTTCACTTTTCGTTTCACTTTTCAGCGATTCAATATCTTCTTAACACATGATTTATCACATATTTGTAAGACAAATCGTGTTAATTTGCAAAAGGTAACGATAAAAGTAAGTGAAAGATCAAAATGTGGAAAAACAGACTCCATGTCCCTTATGGGCCACCGTATGTATGTGTGTCACTCCTTATTTCTGATGTGCATCAAGGAAACGGACTTTAGTTATAGATTCAAAATTCATTTTTTTAAATATTTTTAAAAAGAAAATTATGATCAGCACCATTTTCTAGTTCATTCGGTTATGTGCCCTATATGTATATGGATGAACGAAAATGACAATGAGGTTAGTGTGTGAGTTGATTTTTACGCCGCTTTGAGCAATACGTCAGTTAAACCACGGCATATCAGTTAAAACTTTCAACAAAACTAAAACTGACACACTTCGTTCACGATCATCACTTAAGTGTTACCACAAACGCCGACATGGAGCTGAAGGCTAATGATAATAAAAGAAGATAAATCACGAATTAGAACCAACAATCAGTGGATCCTAGAACAATCAAGGGATGCAACTCTGTTCGAGAATAACAACTCCATACTCAACAGTATTTATTTAATAGCACGTTCAAGTGTCACACAGACAGAATTGCCCTATGAATATACACTGTCCAAATATGACCACTGTGATCCAAAATCAAACACATTTCTACGCCATTGCAAATGTCAAAGAGCTACAGCATTTGCTGGGATATGCACTATGGCAAATAATGGTCTCAGACTCTTACAATACAACTTACACTAGTACCTACAGGTTTAATTTCTCCCACATAAACTGCCCTTCTTTAACCCACATGGTATGTTTGACCCTTTGAGTGGGCACACTGTACTGGAAGAGGATTAGGCTCTGCTTCTGAATCTCTCTATTACATGGTCAAGATGCGTCTGTCCCTAATATGACCATATCTCGAGGGATGAGTTGTTCAGGCTGTTTAGCGTGACATACACGAATGGCACATCATATCAATGACTTTTTCCGGGAAATACTTAAGACAATAAAAGGGACAGAGGCTCCAGGGAGCGGCTGGATAATCATCCCTGTGTACATAATGACAGGCTCAGCTGCTGTGTTGAGATGAAACATTATAGTGAGTGAGTGCGCTGGCTTGAACGCCACTTTGAACAATATTCCGGTTATATTAATTTGTGTCAGTTTAATGTTGGAGGAAAGCCAAACGTAACGCAGACCGCAAACGTTCAGCAGTTTGGTAAAACCCACGAACATGGTATTGGTTGGACTGACATTTAAATTAATTGGGCGAATCTTCACATTAACGGTCAGTGTATATATATATATATATATATATATATATATATATATATATATGGTAGTGCTTACATCTTATGAGTGAGGTAGTATCGTTTTACGCCGCTTTTAGCAATATTCCAGCAATATGCAAGAGACAGAAATAATTGGTTTACACATTGTACCGAAAAGGGGAATAGAACCCAGGCATTCGGCGTGACAAGCGACCGCTTTAACTACTTGACTACACCATCGCCCCTGTATATTCTATGTAACTTAATGAAAACCTGGAAAGTTTACATGCAAAATTCACCAAGCCTATAATAAGAGGGAATCTCGTGTCCCAGTTGTCTCAGGCGACGCGATTCGTCTTTTAGTTATGTCCTTAAAGCGTGCCAGACACAAGTGCTCGTGGGTTCGAATTCCAGATTTGCATTTCATTTAAACTAATGAAAAACTGTTCAACGTGGCGTGATACTAAACCAAATAATTCCCTCTCTTTAGAGGAGAACGCGCTCATATTTCAAGGTGAACGTTGTCCATATACAGGTCATCAATCCTGGATCTTGGTTTGACAGCCAAACGGCTTATCAAGTAGGACGCCAACCGCCCCCGGTGCATAGAACGGTCAGTAATTATATCTGTAATGATGATGGTGGCCATGCAGGTTTCAAGGCGGTCACTGCAGACACTGATTCCATGCGACGTCTCAATGATCCTGTTCTGGCACACACAATTGGACTCTGGTATTCTCCAGTTGTGTCTGCAACAGATCCCAGAACGTCAATCACAAGGAACACTGAGCACACAGTTTGAAGGCGTTCTGACCCGCCTGATTCGCGAAGCTGGTTCCACAGCATGTGTCGATCAATACCACTGGTCGCGGGAACTCCAACCTGCCACTAAACTAGTACCTCTTGACATGAATCAAAATTGCAAAATTCAATGCAGTTCTCCACAACTGCAAGCCAGCCACACACTCCTACAAATCGAATGGTCAGGTGAGTAGAATGAGGTGCTGGTACTTCCTTCCGCGATTTGTGAAGACCTGGAACCCTCGAGGAGGACTGATATTTCAAATTATGAAGAAGTGGTAAGGAGGCTGTGGGGAGGCAGTGGGGAGGATGTTGGGAGTCAGTGGGGAGACTGTAGGGAGGCGAAAGGGAGCCAGTGGGGAGGCTGTAGGGAGGCTGTAGAGACACAGTGGGAAGGTAGTGTGGAGGCAGTGGAGAGACGGTGGGAAGGAAGTGTGGAGGCTGTGGGAAGGTATACGTAGAGGGGAGGCAGTGTGGAGGCTGTAGGGAGGCAGTGGGGAGGATGTAGGGAGGCAGTGGGAAGGAAGCGGGGAGGCAGTGTGGAGGCTGTAGGGAGGCAGTGGGAAGGAAGCGGGGAGGCAGTGTGGAGGCTGTAGGGAGGCAGTGGGGAGGATGTAGGGAGGCAGTGGGAAGGAAGCGGGGAGGCAGTGTGGAGGCTGTAGGGAGGCAGTGTGGAGGCTGTAGGGAGGCAGTGGGAAGGAAGCGGGGAGGCAGTGTGGAGGCTGTAGGGAGGCAGTGGGGAGGATGTAGGGAGGCAGTGGGAAGGAAGCGGGGAGGCAGTGTGGAGGCTGTAGGGAGGCAGTGTGGAGGCTGTAGGGAGGCAGTGGGAAGGAAGCGGGGAGGCAGTGTGGAGGCTGTAGGGAGGCAGTGGGGAGGATGTAGGGAGGCAGTGGGAAGGAAGCGGGGAGGCAGTGTGGAGGCTGTAGGGAGGCAGTGTGGAGGCTGTAGGGAGGCAGTGGGAAGGAAGCGGGGAGGCAGTGTGGAGGCTGTAGGGAGGCAGTGGGGAGGATGTAGGGAGGCAGTGGGAAGGAAGCGGGGAGGCAGTGTGGAGGCTGTAGGGAGGCAGTGTGGAGGCTGTAGGGAGGCAGTGGGAAGGAAGCGGGGAGGCAGTGTGGAGGCTGTAGGGAGGCAGTGTGGAGGCTGTTGGGAGGCAGTGGGAAGGAAGCGGGGAGGCAATGTGGAGGCTGTAGGGAGGCAGTGGGGAGGATGTAGGGAGGCAGTGGGAAGGAAGCGGGGAGGCAGTGTGGAGGCTGTAGGGAGGCAGTGGGGAGGATGTAGGGAGGCAGTGGGAAGGAAGTGGGGAGGCAGTGTGGAGGCTGTAGGGAGGCAGTGGGGAGGATGTAGGGAGGCAGTGGGAAGGAAGCGGGGAGGCAGTGTGGAGGCTGTAGGGAGGCAGTGGGAAGGAAGCGGGGAGGCAGTGTGGAGGCTGTAGGGAGGCAGTGGGGAGGATGTAGGGAGGCAGTGGGAAGGAAGCGGGGAGGCAGTGTGGAGGCTGTAGGGAGGCAGTGTGGAGGCTGTAGGGAGGCAGTGGGAAGGAAGCGGGGAGGCAGTGTGGAGGCTGTAGGGAGGCAGTGGGGAGGATGTAGGGAGGCAGTGGGAAGGAAGCGGGGAGGCAGTGTGGAGGCTGTAGGGAGGCAGTGTGGAGGCTGTAGGGAGGCAGTGGGAAGGAAGCGGGGAGGCAGTGTGGAGGCTGTAGGGAGGCAGTGGGGAGGATGTAGGGAGGCAGTGGGAAGGAAGCGGGGAGGCAGTGTGGAGGCTGTAGGGAGGCAGTGTGGAGGCTGTAGGGAGGCAGTGGGGAGGATGTAGGGAGGCAGTGGGAAGGAAGCGGGGAGGCAGTGTGGAGGCTGTAGGGAGGCAGTGGGGAGGATGTAGGGAGGCAGTGGGAAGGAAGCGGGGAGGCAGTGTGGAGGCTGTAGTCAGGCAGTGGGGAGGATGTAGGGGGGCAGTGGGAAGGAAGCGGGGAGGCAGTGTGGAGGCTGTAGGGAGGCAGTGGGGAGGCTGTAGGGAGGCAGTGGGAAGGAAGCGGGGAGGCAGTGTGGAGGCTGTAGGGAGGCAGTGGGAAGGAAGCGGGGAGGCAGTGTGGAGGCTGTAGTCAGGCAGTGGGGAGGCTGTAGGGAGGCAGTGGGAAGGAAGCGGGGAGGCAGTGTGGAGGCTGTAGGGAGGCAGTGGGGAGGATGTAGGGAGGCAGTGGGAAGGAAGCGGGGAGGCAGTGTGGAGGCTGTAGGGAGGCAATGGGGAGGCTGTAGGGAGGCAGTGGGGGCGAGTGTGGAGGCAATGGGGAGGCTGTAGGGAGGCGGTGGGAAGGAAGTGGGGAGGCAGTGGGAAGGAAATGGGAGGCTGTGGGAAGGCTGTAGGGAGGTTGTTGGTGGGTGCAGTGTGGAGGCTGTAGGGAAGCTGTGGGAAGGAAGTGGAGAGGCAGTGGAAGGAAGTGAGAAGGTAGAGGAGAGGCAGTGTGGAGGCGGTGGGAAGGAAGTGTGAAGGAAGCGGGGAGGCAGTGTGGAGGTTGTAGGGAGGCAGTGGGAAGGAAGTTGGGAGGCGGTGGGAAGGAAGTTGGGAGCCGGTGGGAAGGAAGTGGGAAGGAAGTGGGGAGGCAGTGGGGGTCTGTGAGGAGGCTGTGGGAAGGGGAAGGCTGTAGGGAGTTTGTTGGTGGGTGCAGTGTGGAGGCTGTAGAGAGGCGGTGGGAAGGTAGTGGGGAGGCAGTGGGATGAAAGTGGGGAGGCTGTGAGGAGGCATTGGGAAGGGGAAGGCTGTAGGGAGGTTGTTGGTGGGGGCAGTGTGGAGGCTGTGGGATGGTTGTGTAAAGGCTGTGGGGAGACAGTGTGAAGGCATTGGGGAGGTTCTGGGGAGGCTGTGGGGAAGCACTGTGGAGGCTGTGGAAAGGTTGTGGGGAAGCTGTAAGGAGGCAGTGTGGATGCAGTAGGGAGGCTGTTTGGAGGTAGTATAGAGGCTGTAGTAAGGCTGTGGGACTTGCAGGTTTGCGTCCCTTACCCGCACCAGGAACATTTAATCCTTATGTTTCAGTCTCTGTCTGTCACCGTTGTACCTATTCTCATGGGTTTTACCAAAGAGCTGAACGTCTTAGGCCTGCATCGCTTCAGGCTTCCTCTCACATCAAGCTGAAGCGCTGTGATGAAACGAACTACTGGATTACCCAAAGCGGTATTAAAACTCACTCATTTCCAAAGCTTCCATGTTGGATATGTGGAGCGTTAACTTTCATCTAATGTTGCTGCCATGATTAACGACAGTGTGCCAATGGCCTTTCTTTGAACTACCCGCTGTCCCCAAGGTCAAGGGATATACCTGCGAATTTGTGACTTGTAAAACATTGAATCAATTTTTTACCCAAAGATCCATGTCAATGACCTTTTCTGGGACAAACTGTATGGTGTCTATGACCTTCATTAACGATGGGTGTTGCTGTGATTCATGACTGTATCAATTCTTTATTTCGACATTTGAGTTGGACAACGGCACGTGGTACAAGATTTGATTACTGGAATTGTGCAGCTGAGACAAAAATAGACAATTTAAAATTGTAATATGTGTTCATAATATTGTTCCCAAAAATTGTAATATATGTTCATAATATTGTTCCAAAAAATATAAACAACTGTTGACGTAGCTTCATTGAAATTTGGATCATGCTAGATTTCTGTTTACAGCTTATAGTTTATATACAGCTATAGTAATGAAAACAAAGCCGTGAAGATCAAGATTAGAATAGGTCTTAAGCAACCCATGCTTGTGGTAAGAGGAGACTAACGGGATTGGATGGCCAGGCTCGCTGACTTGGCTGATGCAACATCATTTCACAATCGCGTAGGTCGATGCTCATGATGTCAAACACTGGATTGTCTGGTCCAGACTGATTATGTACAGACCACAGTCATATAGCATGAATATGTTTGAGTGTGGTGTAAAAAACAAACAAACAAATAAAAACAAGTACAAATGGAATGGTCAGATTAATAAAGTTGAGAATCAAATACCAAGTTCGAAAACCCTGATATCCAAACCATTCGGAAACTTTACAGTTTTGAAACGTTTATCCCTAAGATATTTCTGGCTTCTTGATTCTAAATAGACAACACAGGAATAACATCTTAAATATTCAAAGTTAGAAAAAAGTATCATTTTACATATATCATAATACTAATTATTCTATTCCCGTGCTACTCGGGAGAATCATACATATACAAAGATGTTTAAACGAAGAATTCGGTCAATGCAATGTGTTTTCAATGTAAAGAATATACTGGTTCAGTCGCTAGACTCCCTTGTGATTATGTACACACATGGACTTTGCCGAATAAAGCAAATCGTCTATTACCACTGTCTAGGCCGGAATGGCAGAATGCTAGCGACCTTCTTGAACCACAAGGCCGCGAGAGACTTCTATTATGTCAATATTTGAATGTAGGGATGCAAAGACAATGATTTATTGAACGTGTGATTGTATCAGTTGAATGCAGGTGAAGTTGCATGGAATATCACTGTAGAAGACTTCTGTATAGGACTGCTGTAACTCAATCAGCGAATAGAATTTAATAGGAAAGACAGAAAACCTTGCCTGAAAAAGGGTTTCAATGAAACATAGTGTCACATGTTATGTTTGTTGGAGGGGTGTGGGTGGGTGAACTTGGACTGGACAGTGCTAAAAGACAAACAATTCTTTTCGCTGGAAGGATGCACCGAACAGTTTAGTTTCAAACTAGATTGTCCCGCGAACAATTACTTCATTTTTGTAAAAACTGAGACCAAACATAACCAAATGCAATATTTTCGGGAACAATGTTGTTTTTTTCAAAATCAGAACATCAAATGGTCTGCGGCCCTTGTACTATGTGTTCCTGGTTAAGTTTTGTTGAACATTTGACTTGCCCTTGCATGTGTTTGTGGCGCGCGGGTGACACCTATTTTCGATACGCCTGGTATCATGAATAATTGATAGTGTTTCATAAACATGCTTATATACGGTTGAAATGCACACTGGAAAGGAGTTTGTTGCTTTCATTTCGATGGAATAAAAGTCCTTAAAGTGAAGATTTCATGAAGAAATACCAAACTACGGTTATTTGCCCTTTTCGCCAAATGGAATCTGTTTCTGCGGTTAATGAAGACTGGGATTTTTCTCTTGCATTGACATTTTTTTATCAATACCTCAGCATCTCCCTGGTGTATCGGATAGAGCGTCTTCCCGGATTGCGGAAGGTCAGTGCTTCGGTCGGTGGCGCTTCACACCAAAAGATCAGGAAATGTAAATAATGATCTTACTGTGATTTCTTGTTTACGAAAATAAATGCTCAAGACTATGAGGTTATCTCAGGCTAAAAGCAAGTTAATTTGTTTTTGGCTTGGTTTTCTCCTACTCGACAAGCACGTGTCATACAGGTCGTTCAGGTTGAAGCACTTCGCGTTTATGATTGAGAACATGTCTTCAAACCATCTACTTACAGTAGCATCGTCCATGTTCGCTTACTCACAAACATCATCGTAGTTTCGAATCCAATATTCGCTCTGATTATGCCTTGTGGTTTGTCAGCACCATACCCATGACTGTGGGTTTGACCTAGTTGGTAGACTTCTTTGTTCTACATAACTTTAGAGCTTTCTTCCCATCAAGTAAACACGCCATGGTATTACTCAAATACTGTTCAAAGTGGCGTAAAAGACAACTCATTCACTGCTGACAGACCAATGTCGCTTACAACAAAGAGAACAACACCCTTGAAGTAATAGGTCCTGCAGAACTTTGGCATCAATGCATCATGACATCATGGCATCATGGCATCATAGCATCATGGGATCATGGCAACATAGCATCATGGCGACATGGCATCATGGCATCATGGCATCATGGCTTCATGGCTTCATAGCATCAAGGCATCATAGCATCAAGGCAACATGGCATCAAGGCAACGTGTCATCATGGCATCATAGCATCATAGCATCAAGGCCTTAAGGCATCAAGGCATCATAGCATCATAGCATCAAGGCAACATGGCATCAAGGCATCATGGCATCATAGCATTATGGCATCATAGCATCATAGCATCATAGCATCATAGCATCATGGGATCAAAGCATCGTGGCATCATGGCAACATGGCATCATAGCATCATGGCATCATAGCATCATGGCATCATAGCATCATAGAATCATGGCATCATGGCATCATGGCATCATAGCATCATAGCATCATGGCATCATGGCATCATAGCATCATTGCATCATGACATCATAGCATCATAGCATTATAGCATCATGGCATCATGGCATCATAGCATCATAGCATCATGGCATTATAGCACATAGCATGTGTGTGTGTGTGTGTGTGTGTGTGTGTGTGTGTGTGTGTGTGTGTGTGTGTGTGTGTGTGTGTGTGTGTGTGTGTGTGTGTGTGTGTGTGTGTGCGTGCGTGTGTGTGTGCTTTCACTATTCCGGACTAATTCCGATTTAATATTACTAGCCCACTGGAAAACCGACATTAAACCGTTCTTATCCACTGAATGGCGAGTGGTAACAGCATTACCATCTTTTAATGTCTTTGTGAGACGGCCAGGGGATCAACCCACCGAACGTCCGCTCTCCGGGCAGACACTCTATCCAGTGCACTAAGGAGGCCGTGTGTTAGACAGTAAGATGAAGAAATGCAAGAACTTGACCGTTCATACATAACATGTTGGAAGAATGGTAACAAGAGTATTTTCTGAGACAGTATGAACAAGTCGGTGACAACAAAAGCATGTACAGTTAACGTTGCTGTATCAAATAAACACCCTTTCCCATCGCTCTTGTAAGGTGATGTCAGGCATGTCTGTCTTGCATCAAATGGAATTAGACCGTTGAAGTAAGATCAGCTGCTGAAGCAAGTCATCATGCCATCAGATGAGACTGTCATGTATCTGACAGCGGAGTCGGTTGACATGATGAGCATGCCGTTTACTGCTACGTCAGCCACGGGGAAAACCTTACGTCAGTAACGAGGAAAATGTTACGTCAGCCAAGGGGAAAACCTTACGTCAGCCACGGGGAAAACCTTACATCATTCACGGGGAAAACCTTACGTCAGCTACGGGAAATCCTTACGTCAAACACGGGGAAAATCTTATGTTAGCCACGGGGAAAACCTTACGTCAGCCACGGGGAAAATCTTACGTCAGCCACCGGGAAAGCCTACGGGAAATCTACGGGGAATGAAAATATAATTGTTATGTAAATAATAATTTTCAACAATTATCCCTTCACGACTGTAATATTATGCCAAGAAAACGTAAACACGTTGTCAGCACGATGCTTAACAAGGCATATGGAATCCCGTTAACGCACATGTTTTTATACCCATCCTTGGGTAGTGAAATGCATGGGGCTTGCATAAAAGTAAACTTTTGCATGGAATGAATGCTTTTCTGTAGCAGTTGCGTTTTTGTGACTTGATTCCATACATGTACAATATTGGTAACCAAACTTTACTTGTTTGAAAAATATGCTAAAATATTGGTGTCACAGGAACTTTTGTTGTGGAGTATATGATATATTTATATATTTATATTATATATCTACCAAGATTTCGGAGGTAGGGTAGCCTCGTGGTTAAAGCTTTCGCTCGTGACCCCGAAGACCCGGGTTCGATTCCCGACATGGGTACAAATTGTGTGAAGCCCATTTCTGGTGTTTCCCACCGTGATATTGTTGGAATATTGCTAAAAGCGGCGTAAAACCAAACTCACTCACTACCAAGATTTAGCAGTATCAAATCGACTAGAAAATATTAAGTCAATACAAACTGCATGACTTTGTTACTTGAACCTGTAATAGAGTAAAACATGTAACTAATGTGTATGCAAGTACATGATGTCAATCACCAGATTGTCTGATCCAGACTTGATTATTTCAGACCGCCGTCATTAAGCTGGAATATTGCTGAGTGCGACGTTAAAGAAAAAAAAATTGTTCATATGCCATGGTCTTACTTGTATGAACGTATACTAAATAAACAA